TACCCCGAGTGGCTCTGGTCAGCGCAGCCAGCCCAGCTCCCTGCAGCCCAAGTCTCAAGCCTCCAAACCCACCTATGGCAGCTCTCCATACTGGACAAACTAGACCCTGAAAAACACGAGGGTGGGCTCTTGGGCAGGAGAGAACACATGGAGCACATTTCTGGGAGCACGGTGCCCTTTCCTAGAATTCTGAGACCTAACTGTGTCAGCTGAGCCTCTGTGGGAAGCCTGCCTCCCAGACCCACTGTTGTATGTGATGTATTTATGTATGTGTTTGTAAATGTGATATAAGCCTGGAGGAGCTGGGGTGTGTGCTCTCCCCATGTGGACACCCTCACTGTAGCCAAGCAAGCCCCACCCCTTCTGCCTTCTGGCCTCCCACGTGGTCCCCAGCTCAGTGGGCTATTTGAAGGACTGCTGGTTTGGGGACTGGGGTCAGGTTCCAATGAAGAATCACGACTTTTCTTTATCTCGCTCGCTGTGAACCATTGTTTCTTCCCTCTGTAATTCATACTGTTTTTGAGAAACTGATTTTTGTAATGGTCCCCATTCCAACAGATCATAAACTGGGAATAGCAGAGATGACCTGTCCAGCAAAAACCCGTCTGCCTGCACAGCAAGGCCTTCTGGTTTGGCCCTACCCTAGGGGCTTGCCTTTGACCAACCATTTAAAACAATCTGAACTGGGTCTCAAGATGTTCAGCCAGTCAGCTCCCATAAAAAGAAATCAATCCGCTTCCATCTCAGTGAAAGCCTGTACCAAACAAAGGCTGCTCCATACCAGTTGTCCTAAACCAGGCGGGCAACTGTTTCAGGGTTTTCTCTCATCCAAACTCCACCTAATAAAGTTCTGAGAGCAAGCTGGTTCTCTGTGTACTGTGACTAAGGATGGTTTGGGAGTCACTGGACCTCACAAGGACAGCCACTTGAATTGTCTTTTGACCTTTCTCTGTAGGCCTAGGCGGTGCTCAGGAAAGCTAATAAGCCTTTTCTGGCCATCTGTATAATGGTCCGGAGAGCAGGAGTGCCGGGGTAGTGACTGGTGACCTGAAAGGAAGCCAACTATTACTCCAGGCCCATAACTGCCTGTGCCTGCCCCTTGCTTCCGCTGACGGAGTCAAGTTGGGATGGCATTATCCTCAAGTGTCAGCTCCAACTCCACAGCACTGTTTCAGACTAGGCTACATAAGAGGAGCACACTTCATTCAAAAATGCTCTGAGGACAAGTTTTGGGGGAAAGGGAGCAAAGGGTGATATCCCAGAGCCAGGCAGTGTTGGGGATTAGCGAATTTGAAGTGAGCCATATCTACTTAGATGAGACTATTTGAAGTTTGGAGGATTTGGGGTTCACAATGACAGACATCTGCTTTAGTCAGGAGCAATAGTCAGCCATCAGACGTAGCTGTTGACTCATGATTCTGGCCAACTGAGGCAGGAACACCCCGTGTAGTCTCCTGCAGCAATCTTTGTTCCTCTGCCTCATGAATGAGGGGACTAACGGAGGTTATTGACTAAAGGTGGTCTCTAAAAAAAGGTCCCTGGAGCCCAAGTGAGACCTGGCTTTGTCCAGGTGGGGGTGGGGAGGGATGACCCATGGGGAAGTAGCAGTACAGGTATATTTTATTTCACATTTTTTATTAGGAGACAGGTGGGCAGAAAAAGACAAAATAAATCACTAAGGAGAAGTCAACACAAAATGCAAAAAAAGGTAAAATTTTCTCATAAGTTAAACTGAAAAAAACATCAATTTTAGCTAAGGAAACTACTAAAATTGGTTGTGTCTGCTGGTTTAATTGAAAATTGCATCTGAATCTTTTTAGTTGCAAATGTAAACCTTGTGCATCAGGGTGATTTTTCAAGAGAGCTATACATTTCCCTTCCAGTGGACAAGATGGAACCCAGCAAATAATGGCCAGGAGAGGGGGAAGAAGGGCTCTACAAAAGTAGAGTGTGGCTGATAGGATTCTGGAATAGTATGAGAGAAGCAATAACAGAATCATGTCACTATATACTTTCTCCACTCAGCCCCACTGCGGCCTTGATTAGACTAAAAAGCTGTTCATTTTCACGTCAAATGCAAACCCAGCCTTAACAGTTATGGCAACAGAAGCTGAGAGGCCCACCTCCACTTGCCTCTCTGCTTACCATCCCTGGGAGTGAGATGCTTTAGCTTCAGTGGGCTGGTGTAAGGGGAAAGAACAGCACCACCTATGGGTCCAGGGCTGCAGGCTGTCCGGGAGTATTGAGAGGAATTTTAAGTCTTTTTAGAGGCCAGAGAACTGGGAAATAGCATTCAGTCAGGAGCGTTCAAAGAGTGAATGAAAACCCTGAGATCAGAAACGAAGGAAGGAAGGGGCACCTACTCGACAGTGGAGGATCCGTCTTCCCCAGTTCCTATCTGAGCTGGTATACAAGGATCGTAGCATCCTATCCTTCTGAAAACTAGTTTTATGTCAAAGCAGTTTGCTGAAAGAGGAACAAAAATTTTACTTCAAATCTGAAGTCCCTGGATGGTGAAGGCTAAAGGAGTTCACTCTTGATTGAAAGCAAGGCGTGATTGAGATCTGGGAACCAGCTGCAACAACTGCAGCCCTGCCAAAACTGAGATAAGCCTAGGGGAAGCTTCAGGAACAATTCCTGCTGGCACTCTGGCCCAAAGTACAGTGGAAGGTCACACACGCCCACAAGTGTCACTACCAGGAGGAGCAGCTCGATGGAAACCAAAATCTTAACACATGCACCTAGGATTAATACTGAATGATTAAAAACGGTTACTTAAAAAATAACCCTCATTTGAGTATCTGAGATGTTTCCTCCCCCAACAGTGGCTTTTGAACTTCCCCCTCAGCAGCATCAATCAAAACTGGTACAATTTTCAATTCTGTTTTCATAACTAAAACTTCACACACACGGCCTTTCATGTCCCCCCCACTCACCCCACTCTGGCAGAAAAAAGGATGCCCTATCTTTAAAATAAATAGCAACCAAGTGCTCAGTTCTATGTAAAGTATGAATATTTATTTCAGGCTTTAGATCCCAATCAATTCCAAAAAAACAAAATCTGATTTCTCTCAGAGTAGCTGTAGCCTCCATGTTGGGGTGATGTCATAGAGGCAGAAGCAGCACACTTCATCAGGATTAGCAAGAGTAAGTCCCTGATGCCCACTGCATCCCAGCCTTAGGAAGGGAAAGAAACAAAATTCACCACCACGGGCTGAACAAATGCACACGCACTAATGGAAAGGAGCAGCTAAACCTTGCTTGGCAAATTGGCTTTTTTTTTTTTTTAAAGTTTGTTTTGTGGGTTTTGTTTATTTTTTTTTTTTTGGTTTTGTGTTTTTTTTCCCCCATTTTCTTTTGCTACCCAATATATGCAGCACTTGTGGACTCCCAGTGAGTTCCCAGCTTTAAACACATAATGTCTTAAACAGACTAATTCTTCAAGAATCTAAAAACAGACAAACGTGTTTTGCTGTGAACATTCTGCAGAGATGAAGTGAGGTGGGAGTTTGAAGGGTGGTGGCTTTTTTTTTTCTTTAAAAAGAATCAATACAGTGATGGAAGGGTAAAGAATGCAAGAATTCAGACATTCTGTGGAGGGTACTTTCTCTCCAGTAAAGGTCCATAAAAAGGAGCAAACTGAGATCCGCGGGGAGTCAGCAGGAGCTGTGTGTTTCCCCACCCCATGAGTAAGTTTTTGCTGAGGGGCCACCATAGATCCCCACTTGCTCCCCTCCCTTTGGCCTGAGACGTCAGGGCAGTACAGGGGCACTGAAGGAACATGTCACGACTCCTCGTTCCCAGAATCATCATCATCGTAACAGTCGGCGTCCTCTTCCTCCTCGTCTTCATCATCAATGTCGTCGTCATACAAGTCGTCATACAGCAGATCTGAGCTGTTGTCATTGGAAGGCACTTTAGTTTTGATGCAGTATTCTGCCAGGGTTGTGGGGACCTTCACTCCATCCTTTTCTGCTTCAGCCTTAGTGGCCGAGACCTGTTTCCTGAACAGAGAATGACACAATGGTTTGTACGAGTCTGCTTTTGTTTGAGAGGATGTCACTAACACACACTGGCCTTCAACTCTAATCCTCTTGCCCTTAAGTCTCCTTATGTGGGGATTATGCGCAAAACCCATTGTACTTGGTTTAAGCTTCTGTTTTTAAGAAACTTGTAACTGACCATAATCAATAAATATTCTCATCATTCCCTTTGAATACTCCAGATAGGACAGATACCCTGCAGCACACTAAGGCAGGTGCCATCATAGAGGCTCCTCGCTTAACATTTTAGCCTTGTTTGAGACAAAAATCTCTTCACTGTAATCCTGTCTTTGCCTCCCATCTCCTGCTGAGGGCTCAGGGATTACTGATGCTACTCCTGGCTTTTTATGTGCGTTCTGAATTTAGAGTCAGCCTTGTTTGTGTGTGTGTATGGGGGGAAGGATGTTGGGAATCAAACCCAGAGCATGTATCAAGCAATCCAGCCAGCTCTTAGCTAGAGCCCAGCACATCTGCGGTGCCTTTAATGCACGAAGCTGATTCCTCAGTTTCCTCCCCTTGGCTGCTAGGTCCCCATGTCACGGAGTCTCGTTGGTCTGGAGTGCTCTTCCAGTCTCCCATCACCCAGTGGGGCGTGTCAGGTAACAGGTGTGCAGCAAGTGCTGGTTGTTTAAGTGTAAAACAGTTTCATCCCAAAAGTACAAAAACCAAAGGCATCAAGACTGGAAAAACTGAAAACATAAGAACACCGCTTCCCTTAAGCTTTAGTTTGTCCCAGGCTTTGCACATATTCCTGTAGCTGCTATAGGTCTTTACCACTTACACTACTTGTGTTCTGTCTGCATACCAGAAAAGGGAACCAGATTGCAATAGAAATGGTTGTGAGCCACCGTGTGGTTGCTGGAAATTGAACTCAGGTCATCTGGAAGAACAGTCAGTGCTCTTAACCTCTGAGCCATCTCTCCAGCCCCTTGATTCTTGACTTAAATTCACCTCAGTGGCTGACCATGAAAGACAAGCAGGGCAGAGTGATGTACACTGTAACCCAGTACTCTGTTGGATCTCTGATCTCTGCGTTCAAGGCTAGCCTGCAAATACATCCGTCCCGTTCCGTGTGTCTCCCGGCCCTGCTTTCTAATGAGTTTTTGTTTTTGTTCTGGGTTCTCTTAAGATCCCTACTCCATAAGCTGAGAATTGTTTTAAAATAACAGGATATTGAAGTTTGCACGTGAGCAGTGAGGTCCAGAATGCTACGCTCTGACTCACCTGATGATCTCAGCGTACTCCTTGTCTTTTCCTTTACTGTCCCTCCATTTCCTGAACATCACTGAAGCATCCACGTTGGCTGGAGAAAAGGTGTTGGGCTCATTAAGCAGTGAGATTACACTTAACAGGATAGTCCTGGAAAGCAAAGGAGCCACTGTGAAACCCTGTTCACAAAGTAGTTTTCAAAGAAATTACAGTCAAGTTTAATACAAATGTGAGGTTATATTTGAAGACTTATGAAAAGTGATGATACGGTTTTGTTTTGGGAGCTGGGGAGATGATGGCCCCGCAGGTAAAGGTGCCACCAAGCCTGGAGACTGGACTCTGGTAGCCAGGATGAACACGACAGGAAGAGAATAACTATCCCAAGTTGTTCTCACACTTCTGCTTAGATGACATACATACATACATACATACATACATACATACATACATACAGAGTAAATATGGTTTAAAAAAAATTTTAGGGGCTGGAGAGATGGCTCAGAGGTTAGCACTAGCTGCTCTTCCAGAGGTCCTGAGTTCAATTCCCAACAACACATGGTGGCTCACAACCATCTGTAATGAGATCTGATGCTCTCTTCTGCCCTGCAGGTGAACATGCAGGGAAAATGCTGTTAGCATTAATATATATAGATATCTTATTAGGATTAGGACCAGAAGTCATTTACCCTGGCTTCCAGAACTCCAGATGGGCCGCCTGCCAGTGTACCTACCCAACTCTCAGTGCCCCCAATCTATCCCCAACACCCCCACTTCTCATCACCTTGACCCAGCCCCCAATACAAGCTGAGACTCCCTCCTGGATCACAGGCCTTGCAGACGACCACCAGAACTCAAGAGGTGCCCTGCTCCATAAGAGACTACACTGGTCACCAGAAGTACAGCCCCCAACTCAGGTGAAGACCCCCTCTACTCAACCATAGGCCAGAAGACCAGAGAGGAAACTCTTGAGGAGGCACTTAGACCTGTATCACCACAAACACAACAGCCTGGAGGCCAGTGTAACAGCACAGTAACAGCCAGGTAATATGTCACCAGAGTCCAGCTATCCTAACACAGCAAGCCCGACTATTCCAACACAGCTGGAGCACATGAAAACATCCTTAAAGCCAACTCTGCGTGGGACTGAGGACTTCAGGGAGGAAATGAATAAACTAAAGAAATCAAGGAAGAGATTAACAAAAGGTTGAAGGAAATAAAAGAAGGCCAAAAAGAACAAAAAAAGTTGTAGGAGACAAAACTGTCCAAGACCTGAAAATAGAAATAGAAGCAATAGAGAAAATACAAACAGGAGGAATTCTGGAAGGAAAACTAGGTAAGTAAAGAGGAACTACAGAGGCCAGCTTCACCAGCAGAATACAAGAGATGAGACTATCTGGCATTGAAGACAGCATAGAAGAAACAGATACATTAGTAAAAGGAAATGTTAAATCTAAAAAATTCTTGACATAAAACATTTAGGAAATATGGGATACTGTGAAAAGACCAAACCTAAGAAACCCAGCTCAATGGCCCAGAAAATATTTCACCAAAATCATATAAGAAAATGCTCCTAACTAAAGAAGGAGAGGCCTATAAAGGCACAAGTAAGCTTACAGAACACCAAATAGACTGGACAAGAAAAGAAAGTCCCCTCGCCACATAACCAAACTACTAAATACACATAACAAAGAATATCAAAAGTTATAAGGGAAAAAGACCAAGTAACATAGAAAGGCATACCTGAATTACACCTGCCTTCTCAAAGGAAACTCTAAAAGTCAGAAGGGCCTGGACAGATGTGCTGCAGACTCTTTAAGAGACCACACAGCAAACTTTCAATCACCAAAGATGGAGAAAACAAGATGTTCCATGATAAAGTCAAATTTAAACAATATTCACAAATCCAACCCTTCAGAAGGCCCTAGAAGGAAAACTCTAACCTAAGGAGGTTAACTATACCTACGAAATCATAGGAAATAACTTCCCACCAGCAAAACCAAAAGAAACACACACACACTTATACACACCATCACCACCACCACCAACAAACAATAACAACAAAATAACAGTAATTAACAATCACTGGTCATTGCTATCAATACACTCAATTCCCAGTAAAGAAAAACAGACTAACAGAATGGATTGAAAACAGAACCCATCCTTCTGCTATGCCCAAGAAACATACCTTAGCATCAAATATAGAGGAAAGGGTCGGAAAAAGATTTTCCAATTAAATGAAAGCTAACCAAAACTAATCAAGAGACAGGGGAGCTCCCAGCACTCGGGAGGCAGAGGCAGGCAGATCTCTGTGAGTTCAAGGCCAGCCTGGTCTACAAGAGCTAGTTCCAGGACAGTCTCCAAAGCTACAGAGAAATTTTGTTTCAAAGGAGAGAAAGGGGGAGTGGGGGGGGGAGGGGGGGAGGGAGGGAGGGAGGGAAATCTTACACTCACCAAAGGAAAAATCCCTCAGAATGATCTTTCAATTCTTAATGTCTACCCCAAATGCAAGAGCACCCACTTCTGTGGAATATTTAACTATGTAAAGATGTGTTACATTTGTTTTTGTTGCATTTGTTTAATTATGAAAAGATGTGTGTCTATGTCACCTTGCCTGCCTAAAGCATCTGATTGGTCTAATAAAGAACTGAATGGCCCATAGCTAGGGTTAGAGGCGAGGCTGGCAGAGAGAGAAAAATAAAAGAAAACTAGGAAAGAGAGGAAGGAGGAGAGAAAGAGGGAGATGCCCAGGACCGACCAGCCAGCCAGCCAGTCAGAGACAACAGAAAAAGAAGATAAAACAGATAGGGGGAAAAAGGTAAAAAGCCCTGAGGCAAACAGTAGATAATGAAAAGAAGGTTAATTTAAGTCCAAAGTGCTAGCCGGGAATGAGCCTAAGTTAGGCCAAGCATTCATAACTCCATAGTCTCCATGCCATGATTTGGGAGCTGGTTGGTGGCACAAAAGAAAACGCCTGATATAACCCACGTTTATAAAAGAAACAGTGCTACTACAGCTTACATTACAAGCTGATCGTTACACACTAATGTGGGAGACTTCAAAACCCACTCTTGCCAAGAGACAGGTCATCCAGCCAGAAACTAAGCAGAGAAACACTGGAGCTAACTGGCTATAGATCAAATGAACCTAACAGACATCTACAGAACAATTCGCCCAAACACAAAAGAACACACCTTCTTCCTAGCATATCATGAACCTCCTCCAAAACTGACAACATACCTGCTCACACAGCAAGTCTCAACAGAGACAAGAAACTGAAATAACTCCCTTACCTATCAGACTACCATGCATTAAAGCTGGATTTCAACAACAGCAGAAAGACTACAAACTCACGGAAACTGAACAACTCTACTGAATGAAAACTAAGTTAAGGCAAAGAAATTAAAGACTTACTAGAATTCAATGAAAACGAATGCACAACATACCCAAACTTACGGGACACAATGAAAGCAGTGCTAAGAGGTTCAAAGTTCATAGCACTAAGAGCCAATATAAAGAATTTGGAGAACTCTCTCACTAGCAATTTAGCAGCACACCTGAAAGCTCTAAAGCAAAAAGAATTAAGCTCATCCAGGAGGAGGAGCTAGCAGGAAATAATCAAACTGAGAGCTGAAATCAATAATATAGAAACAAAGAACAATACAAAGACTCAAAGAAACATAAAGAGTTGGTTCTTTGCGAAAATCATTAAGATAGACAAACCCTTATCCAAATTAACTAAAAAACTGAGAGGGAATATTCAAATTAACAAAATCAGAAACATGGGGGAGGCGGCTAACAACAGACACTGAGGAAATCAAAAAAAATAATAATTAGGTCATACTTTAAAAACCTATACTCCACAAAATTGGAAATTTTAAAATTAATGGATAATTTTCTCAATAGATCCCACTTACCTAAGCATCACAATCAGATAAACAGATCTATAACCCTAAGGAATAAATGCAGTCATCAAATGTCTCCCAACCAAAAGTGCAGAATTCTACAAGACTGTCAAAGAGGAACTAATACCAATACTCCTCACATTATTCTAGAAATAAAAGGAACATTGCTAAATTAATTTATGAGGCAATAGTTATCCTGACTCCCAAACTACACAAACATTTAACAAAGAAGAATTACAAATCAATCTCCCTTATGAACATAGATGCAAAAATGCTCAATAAAATAATAGCAATCCACCCCCCAAAGGTTGGGCACTGGTGGCACACACCTTTAATTCCAGCACTTAGAAGGTAGAAGCAAGCGATCTCGTGAGTTGGAGACCAACCTGGTCTATAGGAACAACCAAAGAAATCCTTTTCTCAAAAAAACAAAACAATAAAAACCCTCACAAACCAAATCCAAGAACATCAAAAAGATCATCCATCATGACCAAGTTGGCTTCATCCTAGAGATGCAGAAACAATTCAACATTTAAAAAAAAAAAATCAGTCAATGTAATCCACCATATAAACAAACTGAAAGGAGAAAAAAATAGTACTTCAATTCTTAGCTAGAGCAATAAGACAACTGAAGGAGATCAAGGGAATACAAATTGGAAAGGAAGAAATCAAAGGATCATTATTTGCAGGTGATGACAGTCTACATAAGTGACCCCAAAAATTCTACACCTGATTACTTTCAGTAAAGTAGCTGGATACAGAATAACTCACAAAACCCAATAGCCCTCCTATATAGAAATGATAGACTGAGAAATGCATTGGGGCACAATACCCTTCACATTAAATAATATAAAATATCTTGAAGTAACACTAACAAAAGAAGTGAAAGATTTGTATGATAAGAACGTCAAGTCATTGAAGAAAGAAACTGGAAAAGATATCAGAAGACGGAAAGATATCCCAGGCTCATGGATCAGTAGGGTCAATATAATAAAATACGTATAATAAAAATGGCCTTCCTACCAAAAGCATTCCAACACAATTCTTTACAGACCTTGAAAGGACAAACTCTATGGAAAAACTGAAATCCCAGGATAGCCAAAACAACCGTGACCAAGAAAAGAACTACTAGGCCATGCAGTGGTGGTGCCTGCCTATAATACCAGCACGCTTAACAATGGAAAATGCACCAACATAACACTCTGTGTGGGTGAGCAGAAAATCACAGATAAAAATAGGAAAATCGTGTGTTAAGGAAAGCCTATTTCACTTGTAGGTAAAACAGGAAAGGGACAAAGCCTGTTACAAAATGGGTAGGGAAAATGCATGCATGTACTCTCTCCTCTCTTCTCTCTCTCTCTCTCTCTCTCTCTCTCTCTCTCAATGCATGCAAACTAGCTTCTTGTGACAGTTTGCAGATCTCAGAACACCTGGCCATGGTGTTGCAGACTTTGTTTTTCGAGACAAGTCTTCTCTGTGAGACAGTCCTGGTTGTCCTGGAACTCACTCTGTAGACCAGGCTGGCCTCAAACCCACAAAGATCATCCTGCCTCTGCCTCCTGAGTGCTGGGATCAAAGGTGTGCACACCATCTTCTGACCTGTGTTGCAGACTTTTAAGCAGAGGCAGGCAGATCTGTGAGCTCAAAGAACATAGCAAGTTCCAAGCAAGTCAAGACTACACAGTGAGCTGGAGAGATGGCTCAGAGGTTAATTGCCTGCTTTTCCAAAGGTCCTGAGTTCAATTCCCAGTAACCACATGGTGGCTCACAACCATCTGTAATGGGGTCTGGTGCCCTCTTCTGGCCTGCAGGCATACACAGACAGAATATTGTATAAATAAATTATAAATAAATAAATATTAAAAAAAAAGACTACACAGTGAGACACTGCCTCCAATAAAACCCAACAACAAACAAATAAATCAACCTGCTTTTTTTTCCCTCCCAAGTCTACGTATACTCCCCAGAGCAGCATTTGAGAAGCAAAAAGTTCAATTTTAAAAAGCCTAAGTCTGGAGAGATGGCTCAGAGGTTAAGAGCACTGGCTAATCTTCCAGATGACCTGAGTTCAATTCCCAGCACCGACATGATGGCTCATAGCCATCTGTAATGAGATCTGGTGCCCTCTTCTGGCCTGCAGGCAGACATGAAGGCAGAACAATTTGTACATAATAAATAAATCAATCTTTTTTTTTTAAAGCAAAAACAAAAACTCTACCTTAACACAGAGATTTGTAGATAAGATTTATAGGCCTAGCAAAACTTGGTTCTTTAATCCCAGCACTCGGGAGGCAGAGGCAGGCAGATCTCTGGGAGTTCAAGGCTAGCCTGGTCTACAAGAGCTAGTTCCAGGACAGGCACCAAAGCTACAGAGAAACCTTGTCTCAAAAAACAAAAATAAAAAAACCAAAAAAACAAATAAACAAAAACAAAGACAATTTTGTGGAGTCAGTTCTCTCCTTCCACCTTTTTATGGGCTCTGGGGGTGAAACTTGGATTGCCAGGCTTACAAGGAAGTACCTTTACTCACCAAGGTAAGCACTAAGCACATCGAGCAGCTGAAAGGAAAAGGCAATGGGATCAGGAGTTCAAAGTCAACCAGAGCAACACAGCAAGTTCCTAGCCAGACTGAACTAACTACGTAAGACCCTGTCTTTCAAATAGAAGCAATTTTAAATATAAAAGATATCTTTACTTGCAAAAAAAAGCAAAAATTAATGGCAATGTTCACTGGGACTCAATACACAAAAATCAAGGGGACAAATAAAATCTCTCTGGCCACGAGTAAGGTTTAAAAGAATTTCAGGACAAGTGACTACAACTTCCCCCTTAGCTGTGCCTTTTCTGCCCACACATGCTTGTAGCAGAACTTGGCTCTTTGTCCTTCCAGTGGGTTATAGAAAAAACTAGACAAGAAACTTTATATGCATCTGTGACTGCTGGATTAGGCCCATCCATTTGGCTCCACTGAAGACCACTTTCTTGCCCTACAGGAAACAGGGGAGATAACAGTAGTTCTGGAGATGTATCTCAGAGAAAGGAGCTATGAACTGTAAGCAGGGCTTTGACAAACTCCCTGGTCTCAGCTTGGTTATGGCCAAAACAAGAACTAGGGGAGGTTGTTTCTGTTAACTAGAGACTAAGGACCACTCAACATCACTGTGCTCCCTGGTGTCTGGACTTCCTCCAGAACCTATCAGGCTTTAGTGGATAACTGGTCTCTTTCTTTTTTATTGCTCCAGCCAACACTTAAAACTGTACAGGCTGAGCTCTTAAAGAAGGTTTTATATTCTGTAGGTCACAAAGACCCTTCCAAACAACTCTACCTTATGAATATGCCCACTTACAAGCTGAAGAGCACAGGAAACCCCAACCCATGAGAATATGTTGCCAGTGCCAGGCAGCAGCTGTGACTGATGACAGACAAGTCAGACACCTCATGCTAGTTCCACTGCAGTCCTGCTACAGTGACCCTAAAGCTGAACTCAGACATCAATCCTCTGAGCCAGACAAGCTACTCAACACTGACGAATTAGCAGCAAAGTGGTGTGAAAGAAAAGATTGCCCTACCTGCCCTGTGTCTCTTGAGTCAATATTTCAGTGTATCAGTATGCTGAGCCTTTGGGAGGCAGAGACAGATGGTGCAAATGAAGGCAAACCTGGTCTACAGGGTAAGTTCCAAGACAACCAGAACTACACAGTGAGACATGATAGTATAATAAGTGACCCTCAAACAGACTGGCAATTTACTATCTACCTTTAGAACCTCCTTAAACAAGCTAGATGTGGTGCATGCCTGTAATAGCAGGACTCGGGAGATGGTGGCAGGAAGGTTACAAAATTGAGGTCAGCTAGGCTACACAGTAAAACCTTGTTTAAAAAAACAAAAAACTTTATAAGTAACAGAAACAAAAAAGACAAGTAAAAATATTCCCAAAGACAACCAACGAAAGTCTTCTTGAATGACCCCGAGAGATTTCCCCCTCGGAGAAGAACTTCTGCTGAAGGAATACACGACAGCTACATGGAGCAGAGATACTAGGTAGCCAGTTCCAAAGCAGATGACATACACTGAGCTTGCCTACATAACTCAGAGTCAGCTCTCTCCTGAGACAGGATCTTGCTGCGTAGTCCTCTAATCTAACTCATTATGAGCTCAACTGGCTGAGACAATGCTCAGGGCGAGGTCCTAGGCAGGTAGAATTTGCACTAAGCATAGGATTGATGCAAAGTATGAAGCAACTTTCATAAGTATGAGTTCTATCCACTGAGAGGCAAAGCCTAGGATTGAGGCCTAAACAATTCTCAGGATTTGGGGGAATTTGCAGCTAGCAAAGGATCATCAGGGTCTGTGGCCGTGCCACGCCAGCACTCCAGGTAACCAGGCATCATTCGCCCTTTCTCTGAAGAAAGCAGGCCTGCACGTGCATGCCCTCTTCTGACATTCAGGCATACATGCAGACAGAACACTGTATACATAATAAATAAA